GGGAAGCAGCACAGGTGGCTCTCTAATTAGGCGACCAGTCACTCCTTGCTGGGGCTCCGCGAGACCCCAGCAAGTGGCCGCCTAATATGCCTAATTGTGTTCAGCCTGGCCGGCCGCATGCCATGCCAAGATGATCCGGGCGGCCAGGCCTATTTTCAGTGGTGGGCCTGGAGCTGGAGTTCCGTATCCCCTATGTTAATCCAGCTGATTGGGGTAGGGATGGGATATAAGGAGGGCTTTCCCCCCAGTTTGGAAACTGCTGTTGGAAGATTGCCTTCCAGGGGATATTTTGGAGCCTACGAATCCCAGCCCCATCTATAAAGGTAATAACCTTTTGATACATATGAAACATCAGTGATGATACAAATGATTAGTAACTAGCTAATGTCACCTTCTCCCTACTGATAACCTTTGTTAACATTGTATCTTAATTTGGATTTATTTTCCATGAGTTTACAGCACACTGACTACAAATTTTGTTACAATTTGAAAATCTACTTAAAGAAGAATTCCAGGATTTTTAATTAACTATTTGCAGTGGGGCTACCCCCTTACTGCAAGGTCTAAGTGAAATGTGATGAAATCAAGGGTGTCCTCCTCCCCTGCTCATAGGATGCGGTTCAGCTTTGGTGGAACAGGAATTATATGTTAAAGATGCAACACAATCATAGCTTGATTATGTTGGTGCAAGTTAGGGGAAAGAACACCAGGCAATGGTTATTTCAAAAACTGATTTGCTACGACTATGATATTTTCAGTGACATTCTGAGGATTAAGTGTTTAGGGTAGGGTTTACTGAAGCTCATAGATATAGATACAATGTTTACAAATGTTCTGTACAATCAGTTATTATTGTTACAAATAAAGTAACATTTTATTATATCACTATCTTACCGTATATACTCGAGTATAAGCCGAGATTTTCAGCCCATTTTTTTGGCTGAAAAGTGCCCCTCTCGGCTTATACTCGAGTCAGCGTGGTCCAGTGGTCAGGTTTCTTCTTACTTACCTCGCCAAGCGTCGCGTCACTGCTGCTCTGGTGGGCGGCGCTGCGAGCGGGGTCATCTGGCAGTCCCTGGGTCCTAATTTAGGTGGCCGGAGACTGCCAGATGACCCCGCTCGGAGCGCCGCCCACCGGAGCAGCAGTGACGCACAGTAGCTGCCTCATTTCCCACCCTCGGCTTATATTCAAGTCAATACTTTTTCCCAGTTTTTTGTGGTAAAAGTAGGTACCTCGGCTTATATTCGGGACGGCTTATACTCGAGTATATATGGTATTTTGTTGTGTAGGACCTGAAAAGTCCCACTGGTTGAGCTCCATTTTAAACTAAATAGATACATCAATTATACTGTACACTCTTACTCGTATCCTCAGTTAGATTTGATTTTAAAAATGGTAGATTTTTAAAATCTCTGTATTTATGTTATGTTAAGATTTTCAATAACATGTTAGGGCTTGGGAGGCTTTTTTGTTAATGGAATGGTTTCATGTGCAATTAACTTTGTCTGATGCCATCAGTGAACAACTGACACAAACAAAAAGTGTTTTCTAACAACCAGTTTAGTGCTACCGCTGATTTTAAAAGATTTGATGACCAAGGATGTCTGGTGATCAGCAAACCAGCCATTTATTTGATATAACTTATCAGTGCAAAATGTCTGTCATCCTGATCCTTACTAGTAAGTCTCTAAAGTGTAAACATTGTTCCAGATTAGTGACTATGTTCTGAAGCCAGTATCAGAGTAACAGCTGCAGAGCTTGGCCCTTTAAAAACAAATCCAGGAAGAGCCAGAGGTGCTTATAATAGTAGCCCTGTTTGCATGAAAAAAAACAGGCTGGTAGAATAAAAAGATGGTGCTTTTAATTTGGTAGGTCCTGCGTTAATTGTGCAAATGTTTATGAAATCAATATTAAACCGATAAAAATACACAATTAAATTGATAAAAGCACACTAAAATCAGTATCAGTGCACAAAAAAAAAAACTTTTCCGACTAAATCTAAAAGATAAAACTGTATTGAGTTAATAAATAACAAATATTTGTTTATTTTAAATTGCGACTTTTTGAGAAACAGTAAAAAAAGTAGCAACACAAAACTGTAAATGAGCAACTTGCTAAAAAATCGTTTGCACGCTATGTTGGTGTGTGTGTGTTGTGATAAAACGATACAGGCATACATTTAAAGGAGAACTATGGGGTTAGGGCTTTTCCCCATACTTCTCCTTAGGGTAACGGGAGGACACAAACTAGCGTCCTCCCGTCACCCTAAGCTCAGTATGCCGCGAGCTACAGCTCGCGGTATACTGAGAAAGCCGCAGTATACCGCGAGCTACAGCTCGTGGTATACTGAGACGCTGCCGCTGAAGCGGATCCCGACAATTATGTCTAGATCCGCCCAGCTGTGTGAGTGACAGCTGGCTCTGCCTATCTAGAGGCAGAGCCAGCTGTACCCCGCCCCCTCCCCGTCCGTTATGCCAGTCAGCGCTGGAGGACCGGAGGGGGGAGGGGGAATCCAGTCGCTCCCCTGTCACGGCAGAGAGCCGTGACAGGATCGAGAAGTGAGCGAACGCCGGTATGTGTTCGTTCACTTCCCGATCTACTGAGACGACCTGTGACAGTCTCATTGTCACAGGTCGGCTAGAACTATGAGGTGAGTGAAAAGCACTCACCTCATAGTTCTCCTTTAATCACAGCACAGCGTATCACAATGCATGGCAATGCATCAGCGTTTTGCCATGTGAAGTCACAGTTAATGTTATTTTTAAAAAAATCAAGCACTGCAATGCGTTTTAAATGCACCACAACGCATGTGCATTTTTACTGTTGGGGGGAGCTTCGGTAAATATATGGGGCCCGATATTTCCTTTTTGAAATAGAAAAAAAAATTAAAGACAAAGAGTCCTTAATCTCTTTTCTGCAGCCTCTGTTCTAAAATGAATGAAAAACACTCAGTACAGAGGCTTCCCATTCATTTAGAAACGGGTGATAGTAAAATATTTACTATCAACCAGTTTCTGAATAGGTAGAAACTTCTGTAGTGAGTGCTTCTCCCTAATGAGAAAGATATCCTCTGCTTGGTCATGCACAGAGCCGCTGTCATCTTTAAACCAACAGAATGACAGCGTCTCTCCTCCCCACGGCTCATCTCTGCACACTACTCAGCCATCCAGATAAGTGGCTCCCTCCTCTGCTGCCAAAGCGACCATGAGCTTATAGCAGAAGGGTAAAAGCCACCAACGTATAGCATGCTGACGCGGCCAACTGCAAGCGGTTGTTTTCCGCCGTATGCCATACGTCGGTGGCAGCGAAAGGACCGCCCACTGTAAAAAAAAGTCCTGTCCTGAAGCGGTTAACATCCTGCTGCAGCCGTGTTCTTAGTATCCTTTTAAACAGCAGGTGATGGCTGTTTAAATATAAGTAATCCAACGGCGGGTCTCCCCTCACTGACCGGAGGGAGATCAGCAGGTTTCTAGCCGCTGATCTCCCCTCTATTCACTGGACCCAGAAGTGGTTTGCATTAGATCACTTCCAGCGTCACTGTGTACATTCTCCGGCTCTTAGAGCCAGAAGAAGCTGGGGAAGCAGAACTCTGCTTCCTCAGCTTCTTTTGGGTCCCTAGGAGACATTAGGGGTCTGAAAGACCTTTGATGTCTCCATAAAGAGGGGGGGGAGATCCGAGAGGGGGGCAATCATAACCTTAATTCCCCCACAGAGCCCTGATCTCAACAACATTCTGTCAGTCTGGGATTTGATTTGAGGCAGCCTACATCCACAGAAGATCTGTGGTTAGTTCTCCAAAATGTATTGAACAATCTACCCGCCGAGTTCCTTCAAAAACTGTGTGCAAGTGTGCCTGGAAGAATTGATGCTGTTTTGAAGGCAAAGGGCGGTCACACCAAATATTGATTTGGATTTCTCTTCTGTTCATTTACTTTCCATTTTGTTCATTGATAAAAATAAACTATTAACACTTTATTTCTGAAAGCATGCTTACTTTAAAGCTTTTGCACAGTACTGTATGTGGCCCATGGTGTCACTATGTCACCCTGAAATAGGGACCCTGCGTGACCTCAAAATGTTGGCATTTTATGACAAAGTGTGATGAAGACCTAATTGAACAAGGATTTATGATTCTACTAAATGTATGCTGGTGATTATCTGATCTTCACTTTGGAGTTCCACACAGTGCAATCTGTGTTATCACTACGAGCACCACCATCTTGCAAGAAACGTTTTCATTTATAAGTGTTATCCCTTAGCCAATAACAGTCTAACTGACTCATATAACATCACTTCAGGAACAAGGGTATGTAGCTAGCTCTGCCAAATGTGTTTTGCCACAGAAAGGATAATGTCATCTGTAATTTAAATGCATTGGTTGGAGCTAGCTACGTTTGGTCAGTGTGGCAAAAAGCTAGTTACGTGCCCCTGATTTTGAAGTGAAATTATAAGTAAGAACTTACATTAAATTGCTGTTTTTACTCATTTTAGAATTATATATGGGGAAAAGGAGAAAGAGCCAACTGGAACAGCTAGGTGAAGGTGCTGGAGGTACTCTAAAGCACTGTACACACAACAGAGTAAGCTGGCATGAATAGCTTTAGGCTCTGTTCACACATAGCGGTTTGAAATTCAGCGCAGTTTTCCGCGCATTTGTCCGCACACGCCACAAAAACGCGCATATTTTATATATGCATGGTTTCAGCATGTATCACACTTGTACTTTTTTGCGCAATGCGTGTTTTCGTGCTGTTTGGATGTTGCACAGGTGTGAACGAGCTGCATTGGAATGTATTTATTTCTTATGTTTCGTGTGTTTCCATGGAAAACCGCTAATGTGTGAGCGGAGTCCTACTGTAGGGACATTTTTAAAAGGGGAAAAGAACTAGCAGCTGAGAAAGTGTTGTAAACTCAGGAGCTACATTGTTAGTGCTTTGGAAGCAGTGCGCTATATAAATATATATTTTTTTAATTAGTAGTGGTATTGTAGTGTTGTCACCTGTGCTGCAAAGGTCCCCACGACCACTGCACAAAAGATAGGATTCTTAAAGATGTTCTCAAAGACATTGCGTTCTCCATGGATTTTGCGTGCATTGATTTCATTGAAAAGTTGCATCATAACAAAGGTGTTGAAAACAATAGTATAATGCTCTGAAGGAGGAGAGTGCAAGGGAGCATTTCTTCCACTGTCAATGTCAAAAAATGTTTCACCTATGAAAGACAAAAACCTCATTAAAACAGTATTTGTAAAAGTGGTATAAGAATAGCTTAGAAACCTATCTATCTATACATTTATAGAGTTTTATATATACACACACACACAAAAACACAGAAACAAAAGTGCTAACTCTGCATTAAAATGCATGCGTCACAAAGAGGAAACTGACAGAAATCCAAACAGGATAAACAGTCAGTTCATAAACTCCATGCACCTTGCTTAAAAAGAAAACCAAACTAAATAGTCTACTTTTTTTTTTTTGTAAGTACAAGTCTCTGTGCACACAATAATACAAAAAAGGCTACCAGGTCTTTCATATTCTAGAGCAGAATGGCTAGAAGCTGTAGCAGTGTGGTTAAGCCAGGGGCAGGTATCAAGATACTTATAGTAAAACTGTCATCTATTACAGTATACATATCTAATCAACTAATCTAGAATGTAAAATCTGTTGCCAAAAATAGGATTTTCGGACACATCATGAAATCATTTTTTAGAGTTCATTAAAGGAAACACCTTGATGCTATTAAGCAACATAACGTTATATTGCTGCCTACTTGAGAAATGGCACTGGGCAATAAAAACTAAAGGCCTGCCTCTTTAAGGCTATATCCCCTCACACATCATCATTTGTAGCCATAAATCCAAATAAGTATTTTAAGGTGAGTAAAATAATCATATTTTCTCTACTGTGCATTGAGGGACACTGTTTGGGTCATTAAGCAAAAGCAGTCCAAACAGGGGTGTGGGAGCCATATAAACACAGCCCAACCTGAAAAAAAAAATACAAACAAGTCCAACCTAAAGACAAAAAACCAAAGTGACAAACAAGGACATGAAACTGCCGCTTGATGGACTTTTCAGCAGAAACTAGCATCTGCAGAGGTAGATACATTGACCTTGTAAAACTTACCAAACATGCTAACAGAAGACTAGGTGACAGCCTTACATATCTGAGTAACAGAAGCCTGATGACAAAAAGCCCAAGAAGTACTCACAACACTGGTGAAGTGGGCTTTTACAGGACAAGGAGAAACTTTATCTAGCAATTTGTAGGCCTGAACAATGACCTGTCAAATCCACGTAGAAATAGTGGAACTGAAAGCCTTGGGACCTTCCGGAATTTCAAACAAGGATTTCCTTTGCATAAAAAAGCAGTGACATCCAAACAATGGAGAGAAATCTCCCTGGGATAACCAACGGAAGACCCAGGGAAGGCAGCACAATATCTTCAATAAGATGAAAAGCAGAGACCTCTCTGGGCAAAAAAGAGGTCCTTTGTCAGAAAACAACTTTGTCTTTCTGCAAGGTCAAAGGGGGCTCTTCCCAGAATAACACAGATAATATAGATACCCTTCTAGACAAAGTGCCGGCCACAAGGATCTCTACTGTATGGGTCAAACATTAAAGTTATGTACCAAATATGTTTAAATGGAAGTTTTTGAAACACCAACAAGACTTAATGTGTATTTCCACTTTTGCAGTCAAATGATAGTGATAATGATAGTGATCTGTTCTTATAGAAATACTTAGGACTGAAATTTGAGGATTGTGTTTCTCTCATTAACTTAATTACCATTTGAATGCAGAAGTCAGGGTTATAATTCTTTAACCCTTTGTTAGGACAGTCAGCGTTCGAATCTACTTTACAAAATAATAAAATGAGCCAGCACAGTACAGATAGGGTCAACAAACACCTCACCCCTCACAACCCCTCCTTACATTCCAAAGAAGTAGATATGTTAACCCTTAAGAAAAAAAGAAGAAACCCTAACCCAAGTAAAAGCAGGTTAAATTGCAAGATGCATTTTTAAATCTTGTTTAGCCCATTATATGTGAATGGCAACATGCAACAAATATAAAACAGGTGTTATCCCAATTTAGCTGTGAAAGTAGAAATACACTTTAAGGCCTTGTGGAGGATGGCGTTTCCTCATATTTTAATTTCTGCAAAGCAGATGAGGTAGCGACCTAAGTGAAAAGTTGAGGGGGAACTGACCCATGGAGCTACCCAGGGCATCCAATACATCCACTATCGGATCCCTCGCCCTTCAGACAAATCTGAATAGCTTCTTATTAAACCCCAGCCTAGAAAATATAGCTTGAAACATCTGCTGATGGAGAGAGCATTAGCCTGAATACAGACGTTGTCTGGTGAGGAATAATAAAAAAAAACTTTGATGCAGGATAGAAAGGTGTCAACTTGCGTCATTGATCCTTATATTTGCAAATCTGGAGTCAATTCTCACTCTTCCCTCATGTCTCCTTTTTCATGACTTTATCCAGTGAAGCTTCAAAAAAGGTTGTTTCTAGACATGTGCACCGACAAATAAATTGTTTTGTTTAGTTTTTATTTGCATTTTCCGTTATTTCGTTTTTCAGGATTTGGGTCCGAAAGTCAATTCGTTTCAGGATTCGGACGACATTCGTCCCGGAAGGATTTTTGTTGCAGCAAAGTGACATTAGACAAAACAAAAAAATACTTTTTTTTTTGCAGAATAGGGAAAAAAAGAGTTAGGTCCCCCCTCCCCCCTAATTGATGCCAGATCCTTTTGGTCTTATAGGAATATTAGAAGGGACCCCCCTTCTAAGTTAAAAAAAAAAAGTTTGTGGTGTTTCCCCAAAAGCCCTACCAGGCCCTTTAAGTATGGTAGGAATTTTAAAGGGAGAACCCCACTCCCCAAAAATGGGGGGGAAAACTGTGGGCTCCACCCTAAAGTTCCTACCAGACCCTTGATCTGAGTACAGGCCTGGTAGGGCAGGAAAGACCCCACCCCCCATTTTTTTTCTTTTGTCTAATGTCACTTTGCTGCAACGAAAATTCATCTGGGATGAACTTTCGTCCAGACAAACACTAACTAAATTTATCCGAAAATTTCATGATTGGAAATTTTCATTCGTAATTTCTGTCATTCGGAAAAATTTGTCGGAATAGCTAAACTTTCCGAAACGAATCCCACGTAGCGGTTTCCCCATGAAGGGCAGGCCTACAATGAGGTTCTGCTGACCAATACTTAAGCCAGATTGCTCTACTAAAGAAAGGGATACCTGCGACAACAGACAGCAAATAACTACTGTGTCGCACATACAGTAAATTCGTAGCATGATGGTCATCTGGTAAATGTTATCAATAAAATGAGGATAAACCACTGCAGCCAACTAATCTGCACTTACTGATTTAGTGAAAGTAGCTAAAGTCTGTGAAATAAGAACCAGGGTTGGCTGATCCCACTAAGGAATAGATGGAGAAAGAAAGAAAGGATTTCCAATCTATTGTCAGGTGGAGCTTCATCATTAAGGATGGTGAAGGCTTTTTTAACCACTTCAGCACCGCCCACCATCAAAAAAATTTCATGTCCCGGAGTGGTTATACCATGAATATGGCAAACAAGAGATTGCTATTCAGATACAAGTGATCCGGCATCTATACATCCGCCGGATTGCTTGTACGGTGCGACGGAATGTGCACCCCCTCCGCCGGCTTCCCCTGGCTCTGCTGTCCCCCATGCAGGCCCGTGACCAGCACAGCAGGTCTCCCCAGACATATCTGAGGGCGTTCAGAAAGCTTCTAGAGGCTGATTTCGCCTCCGATCACTGGACCCAGAAGTGACGTGTATTAGATCACTTCCGGTGTCACTGTGTACATTCTCTGGCTCTTAGAGCCATTAGAAGAAGCTGGTGAAGGAGATCTCTGGTTCATCAGCTTCTTTGGGGTCACTATGTGACATTAGGGGTCTTAAAAACCACTGATGTCTCCATAAAGAGGACCTGTCACATTATATTTGCTATTACATAGGGGCTTGTTATCCCCCTATGTGATAGCAATAAAGTTGAGTGTAAGAAAATAATCAAAAATTAAAGTAACATATACAAGAAAATAAAAAATGCAAAAACTTTTTTAAAGTCCCCCACGTGCACGCACATACAACGCAAACATGTGTCGGGTGTGCCAACATGCAAAAACAAAAATTGCACCACATGTTACATTTCGTCACGAACGTCGGAGTAAGAGCAATAATTCTAGGGCCATCAATCACTGTTAACACTAAATTGATGAGCAGTAAAAGCTTTCAAAGCATTGCCTAAGGGAAATTATGAGTATTGTAGTTTTTTTGCGGTTTCACGGGCAAACACAATTTTAAAGCTTGACATGTTTGGCATCCATTTACCCAGCGTGACCCCATCTTTTATATTTTACCAAACAATTGGGTATTCTGTTTCTGTGCACTAAATTTCATTTATTGCATTTTATCCTAAAATATTGGTTTGATAAACAATGCGCATATACTGTGCGACATCAAAAAATGGCAACTAGCATTTTTTTTATTCTACAGGGCCTCTGCTTCCAGAAAATATGTAATTGTTTGGGGGTCTGATGCTATTTTCTAGCCAAAAATTCAGATTTTATCATGTGTGCAAATATCAAGAAATTGCTCAGTACAGCAAGTGGTTGAGATGAGGCACTGGAGAGTTAACCTCAGGAGGAACAGACCACATTTTTACAAAATTTTCCAGAAGTGAACAGACGGTTTTGAATAGTTTAGGGAAAAAGAATTGCTTGTCTGAAAAATCCCAATCTTTGTAAATAAATTTATCTAGTGCAGGGTGAAGAAAAACTAATGCCGGTTTATGAGAGCGGAGACAAGACACTAGTAGTGGAGTCCTTTAAATTTAAAGTGGAACACACAGCCTTGATTAAAAAGGAGACAATTTTATTGTGGTGCTGTGACACAAATCAGCTGGAGTGGGCACCTTCCTCCTCTAGAGAAGGAAGAGACTCAGCTTCTGACAAGGAGTCTTTCAGGGGATCTTTGACAACCGAGAAATATTAGGCATCTCTTAGTCAGAGGCTACAGGTGAAGGAGACTGTGGGTGTTTTACACTTCTGAGTAGGAGGAGCAACACATTTATCCAAGGGAGACATCAACTCCTCCATAACAGAAAAAAATAAGTGTTATTGAGATAGGGAATGGGAGGAACACCAAACAAGGAAAAAGATGCAGAAGCAGTTGCTGACAAAGACATGATAGAAGGACAAGCTGTATAATCCTTTTCTCTACCAATTTATACATTACAAACAGTGTTAGGAGTGGGTGATTCGTCCACAGCTGTGGGACAATCACTCCTCTTATTGGAAACACACATGTTGCCCGCAGAAAAAAAAGGTATATGTACCTTTTAAACTACCAATCCCCTCAGGATTACCCACTGCAGAGAGCAGGGAAAAGGAAAATAGGGCTGAACACAGGGAAACTGAGTAGGTACACAGAACGTTCATCAGTCCCCCAGAAAACAGTGTCAGCCACCTCACAGACTGAATAGTGCAGGAAGACCCTCTTTGGGCAGAAGTGTGTGCTTTTGACAGTGAAATCAGCAGAGTGTGACCTGGAAATAGCCAGAGTTAGGAGGGGCACACACACATGCATCACAGAGACCCGCAATAAGAACGCCAAGTGATGGGCACATGCACACAATACAAGTGCGTCAGCAAATAAAAGTCCCAGCCCCAATGCAAATATCAAGACCTTTGAAAATAAATGTAGCTCCCTGCCATACAGAGTCGAATGGAGCATGCAGTTGTCACACTCCAGTAGCCAGAAAGTAGTCCTGCATACTAGTAGCTACTTGGATATGAATTAGGGCAGCACCAAAGCAATAAACTGCCCATGTGTCTGCACCAGATAAAGGAAAGGCAAGACCCAGTCCCCTACACAGAGAAAGTGCTACATAAGAAAAAGTCACGGTACATACATAAAACTGCAGTCTACTTACCACATGCCAAGTCCCTGGTCCTGACATTTAAAGGAATCCCCAGGCAATACTGGCCTTAAATGTCAAGTCTTGTTAGCTGGAACACAGATTAACATCACTGCTAAGAACACAGAACCATTGCAGAGAGAACAGCAGCATGGAAATTATAAAAACCTGCATACGGTGGACTGAAGAGACTTCCAGTATTTCAATTATCGGCATTAATCTACCAGCAGCTGTTGATAGTAGAAATCTTCCAAATTCAAGGGAATAAATTCTTGGAAAGGGCCATCTATTCTCCTAAGGACACTAAGGGAAACTGGGAAGGTCGGTGTTGGGAGAGATTATAGCCTTAAAGAGGCAGACTAAGTTTTTATTGCTTTGTGTTCATTTCTTCTGTAGGCAGCAGTATAACCCTATGTTACTTAATAACATCAAGCTGTGTCCCTTAATGGATACTAGAGAAAAAATATTAGTAAAATTATTATTTCTTACCACTCAGGAAATGTGTCACTATTTTGAAGTATATTCCTATTTATGGAACTGTTAACATGTTTATGGCAATGTTAAAAAAACTCACTGTGGAGAAGTAGTTTTAAATAACGTCAAATTCACTTACTAATTTAAAGCTAAAAATCAATGGATTTCACTGTCTGGATATATTTGGATGAGGTATAAAAAGATATTGATTA